GGGAAGATAATTGCAAGAAGCTGGTTGGAATTAATCCAAGGAAAGAAGCAGGAAGCAGAAACTGCTGAAAAGCTTGTTTTAATCTTGAGAAGTGTCATTCCACATTTTCCTGGAGAAATCCTTCCCTGCTTCTCCACAGACTCTAACAAAGCCAAGCTCATGTCTTTTGTCCCCACATGGCTGTAAGCAAATACAACCCTTTTTTCTTGTAAATCCCACTAACAGTTGATCATGCACATTACTTTGTATATACTTAGCCAGCCCTTGTCTAGATAAGATGCTTTCCAAGACAGATGCTTGAGAGTAGATTTAGGTACTTCCTCAGAGAATCAAAACCTGATATCAAAATCCAGGTTTATTAACTTTAGTCAATAAAGAATCCTTTTTCCAGACAAAGGAAGAATTCCTGTTCATAAATTAGAGTGTGTAAATAGAAATATTTTTTTCTCCTTACCTAACCCTCTCAGCAATCATAGACCCCCCCTTATAAATCATTCACAGTGATGGGCTGTAGAAAACAAATTTCTTAAATTCGTGAAATCTGCACTGTCTGTCCATTTAAATGTATCACAGGACTTGTTTTATATTTACCACACTGACAGTATCAGGTATAAATTATTTCAGTTCATTTTTTAGGGCTTTTGAGCTAGTTGCCCTGGATTCTAAAGAACTTTCTGTGATGATTTTGAGGGTAATGTTTTGAGAACTGCTTATGACAGATGAGGGTCCCTTGCAACAATTCAACACTCAAAAATTTCTCTTACCTGCCCCTGTTCCTTTGTAAATTAGCAAACAACAATTTAGTAAAGGGGAAAGTTCAGAAATCTTGGGTATGAGGTCATGAGAGATAGAGTGGCATTGGGAAGAAACATGGCAATCCTGCAAGTTTCACAGTCCAACTGGCTCGAGGTTATTCATGGTTTTATTCAGGCATTGCTACTAATAGAAGATTAAAATCCTTCTGCAGTGAAACAATTCAATAAAAGGGGTTTAGTGCTTTGAGTAAAATGACTGAATTATTCAGGTAACTCTACTTGTCTCATACTAATCCTAGTGAGATTATTACCTGTTCACTGGCTCTGGATAACAGAATGAGGATTTAGAGAACTTCTTAAACTCCTACTTAATCTAGATATGAAGTAAATAATACAGCAGGATGGTAATTTTGGTGGTTGTTTTTTTTTTTTTTTTTTACAATCAGTCAATTTCTATGCTATGAAGTCAAGGTGACTTTTGTCATTGCATTTGTTATGGTGGAAATATTAATAGACACCAGGCAGTCTATTACTCCCACATAAGGACCAACATCTGTAAAAAGAGTGTGATAAGACCATTCTTTCAGACTCATAGGCAGGAACATGAGGCCCCAGATACAAGATACAGCTGGAAAGAATAGAAGAATGAGCTGGAGTGCAAAGTCTGACAAAAGCTGAGCTGGGTGGAAATGTGACTCCCTTATTGTTCAGTGTTGTTTGGCAAAGCTAACAGGCACAGAGAAGAATGTAAGCTGTAAGCAAACAAAACTGTCAAAGGCATCATTCTGACATGGAGCAAAGATGAAGAAAATAAAGCAGTTTGGAAACAATGAGGGAAGCAAGTGCCCCCAACTCTGAAACCATCACAATAAACCAGGATTTTACAGACTTCACTCATGCCATCAAAATTTATTTTACACATAATTCTGCAAAGTTGTAAATATGCATTTATGACCTTTTGCAAGCATTAACCATGTTCTTACTAAACCAGGCACTGACTACAGACTTGTTCATCAAGTTATAAAGCTGATTTTTATGCATTGAAAATTGTCGTCATTAAGAAGTGTTGCAAAGGGCTGATTATCACATTCCACTTGCAAGTAATAAAGCAGCATGCCAGCAATTCCACTCTCATATTTCGAAATGCCGTATTAAAAAAACGCATCATCATGATTTGCCACAAATCTTGAAAAATATTCTTTTCCCTATAAATACTACTGAGACAAGCTATTTTCTTGCTTATGTATTAATGCATTTAATTGAAAACCCAAGGCAGCTGTTACACTGCTATTCATTTTATTATAATCATAAAAATAATGGATGTTCAACACAGAGCTGAATACAGATTAATGCCAAAGCTATTTACTAATCCCTTTTCCCCTGATCATTCAAGAGACTAACCACAAATTTTAAAGGCCAGAAATACAGGAGGAGAACATTTTGTAGTTTAGCAGGATAAAAATCACAGGCATTTTTTTATTTACTAGGGACTAGAAATCTAGACAATGGAGAAAATAGTGTCCCAAGCAACAGTCTGCAGCATAACCCACAGACTCCATTTTGTCTGCACCCTATCTTCATTCAAGCAGAGCTAGAAGATGAAAGAGCTTATCTCTGCCCCCTCCTATGTCCTGGGCAACTCAGTGCCTATACCTAATTCTAGATGAAGACTAGAACTTCTCTCACCTGCTCCTAGGGATAGGATGAAACCTTGGCAGCTTCCTTCCCCACACTCAAAAGTGGTAGTGATAGCTTTAACCACAGATCAAAGACAGAAAAATTAGTGTAACACACCAAATCCACACAAAAGCCAGGATCTGTCTTTTAACACCAAAAGTAAAGCCCAGTAGCTGTGGATGGAAATTATTATTCTTGACTTCCAGCAGCAGTAGAAAGCTCTGCATTCCAGAGACATCTCCTCCCCTGACACAACTTCCATACATTTAGCACAAAAAAGAAAAGAAAGAAAAGCCATTTCCCTCTGCACCTTTGGAGTAGCAACATCCAAAACCACCTACCCTGAAGAGAGACCTCAGGAGGGCATTGGCATTGCATTTCAGTCAAAAAGGCAAGTTCCTTCATTCCAGTTTTAAAGAATTCTCTACAATCCTACCTGCCTTTTCCAAATCTGTCCACACTTAAATTTGAACTGTGAGAGTTCAAAACACCTGGCAATTAAATACAGATAAAACAATTCTTGGGACCAAAAGGAACCTACTGGAGGATCACACCTTGTTTGCTGGTGCTCCAGCAACCATTTCATACAGCCTCTCTTCATAAAGTTTATAATGTTCTGTCCTAAAATCAGCCTGCTTTTTTCCCCATACTCTTCCCTTGTACTGTTCCATTTGTGTTAGAAATCCTCCTCAGTGTTTCCAGACTGTACTCTTGGCTGTGCAGTTGGTTGGCTTGAAGAGCTCCAAGATTCTTGCCACCCTAACAAACTTTTTTTTAGCTGTACCAAAGAACGCAGGACCTTCAAGTTGATGTTTAAAGATTCTCATAATCATTTTATTATGCCTTTTATCCAAATCTGTCCAGTGTTTAAACAACAGGGGAAGCCTGCACTGAGCACAGGGCTGAAAATAAAAATGTCACCGTTGCAACATTACCTCCCAGCTTCTCCTGGTCTCCCTTCCTTGTGATGCACACCAGACATTTTTTCCCAGATGCAGCCCTCTGGTGGGTTAGTCATTCAAGGAATGACTAGTGCATCAAGGTATACTTTATGTAGCATCTCCAATTACGAACTTCCCTCAGTCCCTAAAATTTGAAGTTATGGCATTTCATTTTAAATTATTAAAATACTATTAATCAAGTCTTAAAGGCAGTCTTGTTGGACAGTATTCCACTATTCTTTTTTTGTCATGTCATCTTTCCCAGTTTGTGCCCTCAGCAATCTCATTAACATAAGCCTATTTTTTGTGCCATGGTCTTTTTTTGCTTCTTTAAAAAAGAAATCATCTCCCAGATCAACTATTGAGAAAGTCTTCAGGTAAATTCATTAGCTCAATAGTTTGACAATTAGCACAGCTCAAGAAAAGAGCTGGTTCCTTCACAGGCAATGTATTATCTGCCTTGGACCTTATGAGCCAAACCACCAATCTGAGCTGAGTTTCATGAACCTTTCCCTTGCAGCAATTCACTCTAACCAAGAATCCTGCCAAGAAAATTGCACATTCAGTTGGTACCACAGAGTTCTAAAAGACAAATATTGTCAAAGCTATATTCACTTATTCTTGATATTTAAAGGTATTAGCTTGTACTTTACCAAAGGAGAAAGTAGTTCTAGCATATTTATCTAGAGCTTCACCTCAATTCACAATGCTCCTATTCCTGGAAAGAGGTCAAACTTGTAACTCCCTTTATTTTCTGGCTTGCTTTATAGATGAAAATATATAAAATGTGAAACAACATGCAGTTTTAGTTTGTTGATGTAGAAAGGACAAGAAAGGACAAGGTTAACCTCCGCTTTTGTAGTCCTGCAGTTAGGATTTTTTTCACTACCAAATTTGTACATGCTACTGGCAAACATCCATTGGGCATTTCAGGTATTGCTACCAACAGAGCTGAGATTTATGTCATTCTTTGATCAGTTTCTGTACCTGATGGTTAAAAATTTAACTTACTTAGAGATGCTTCAAAAAAGGCTTACTGGTTTCAAAACTTAAGCTCAGCAAGTAAAATTATCTGTTAAAACACTCACTGGAAACAAAATCCACATTGTAAAAATAAGAATGTTTGGGAAGTATGTGTGAAGAGATTTAAGGAGATTTCACTACTATGATATCATAGAATGCCTGGAGACGGTGACTTGCAATGGATTTACCATGCTTGTTTTCCCATTTCAAGCCAGAGAGGTTTTATATATATATAAAATACAAATTTGTGCCTTTACTGGAACAGCTGTCAAGTGAAAAGATTACACAAATCATTGTCAGGTCATCTGTGCTACAAGCACAACTTGTAACTCTAACTCTGTCACTAAAAGCTTTTTCCACTAAACTAAGAGGTCTCCTCCCTCACTGTTCACCGTTATTTTCCAGTTAAAAGCACAAAGCAGAGATTTGGGAAAACTTAAAAAACCAATCTTTTTAGTAAGCAGAAACTTGCATTATTAGATATTGTGGTGCAATATGTTTCTCCAGCTAGAGCTCATCTAAAATTCAAATACCTTATTTCCTTCATATAGTTAATTAATGCAGTTCATGCTAAAAAAAAAAAAAATTTCAATAAAATTTTTTATTTTTCATCCCAAAAGAAAGCAGTAATTTCTATACTACATTCATGAGCCCCTATTCCTACCAAACATTTTGGGGCAAGAGAGTTCCTTGGCAAACACACCAAAAACCATAGCAGCAGTTCTGCTACCAGAACCACTAAGGGCCAAGGACCCAATCTCCACACTGATCCTCTGTCAGGGATTTACATTGAACTGCCTCTAGTCTGACCTGCCAGACTTCATTTCAAAGAAAAGCAGACGTTTCTTTCTCTCTGAAAATCTGCATTAGTTCTGATGGGACTGGGAGAACCCCACAAAATAATGATTCAGGTACAAAACCAACAGCTAGATTTCTCTGAAAGAGCTCAGACGTTGCAATAGAGACTTAAGTAAGGAGTGCCACTAAAGAAAACTGAAAAAGCTGTTCACAACCTCACTGTTCACAAACAGCAGAACAGGAGAGATAAAGACAATATCAATATATCAGGAGATTGCTTCTGTTCAATCTACAGACTCTTTGTTGTTGTGTTTAGACACTGTTCTATTTAATGGCAGTGCATGTTTCAATAGGTGAAAAAAATATATTCTATGTACATTTATACAGTCTCAATCTATTTTAGTTGTCAGTGCCTCAATCCAACACATGAAACACACCTTTTCTGAGGACAAAGTCTGTACTGTAGGCTGCATACTTTTTATTCTAAGTTGTTGCTATTTACAAGTATCCTCGTGAAATGTTGATGATTTTCTCTTTGATTTCCAGGACTGTAAATTTGTTCATATTTTCATAAACCAAATCAGAGATATTTTAATGCTAACAACATCTAAATGCAAAATGCCTTACAAACATACTGAGTCAGAGAACTGGAAAGGAAAACAATACTGAGTATAAATTTCAGATGAAGCTCTTACTGCTATAGTTGAGTTCTGAAATCCATGGCTAAGATGCCTTTGTTTTCAAAAGGGGAAAGAGTCGACACCCTGACTTCTAATTGTTCTGAATTATCTCCTGAGAAAAAAAAAAAAAGTGTAATGTATCATCTTACTACAAAACTCAGACTTTGGAAGAGACATTCCCAGAACTCTTTTTGTCAAAACCAATATTTAATTTGAAAAGTAGCAGAAGTTCTCATTAAAAAACAGGAAGAAAAAGCCCAACAAAATATTACAAATTAGTTTAATTCTAACATTAATATTGCATTTTCAAATTCACAGAAACCAAGATTTTCAAAGCTTTATATTACATTTATCTCAAAAAAGATAAATTAGACAAATTGTGATGAAAATAATATAAAGAAATTAGAGTATATGCATTTTTCAAATCTGAATAGCAGATGAGATTTTCCTAAATAGACTGATTATATTAATAGGTCTTTGAATAATAGCTGTATGAATAGGGTTGCATAAAATCAGGTTTAACTGAAGCATAATTTGGCGTATTAAGGTGCCATAAAAGATGTATCTGTAATTTGCAGTATTTATTCCTTTAAAAGTGTAAAATAGTCATTGCTCATCATATTTTTAAAATTATGAGCTCAGAACCTTATGAACACCAGATTTCATTAAATCTCCTTGTTGCATCTAAAGACTACCTAAAGACTCTGCAAAAATAGAAAAAAAATAGTGCTGTGGTTTCCATTGTCTTGAACATAGCAGTAAGTCTGGAAGTAAAGGCACAAACTGCATCTGCCTGCCAGCTCTCCGCTGGCTCTGCACCAAATTATAAAAGTAAGGAATCAGTCACTTCTAGAACAGCATTTGGGCTGAGTAACTGTTCTGTGCCATTCCACCTCAGATTCTGAGTGGACTATTCACCAACAATCACTTCCATGTGCAGCACACACTAACAAGATGTTTATAGTCCCACTCTGATCAGCACTTAAATAGAGCTGATGTCTTAGAATTACTTTGTCTAACAAACCTGGGAGATTTTTGTGGTGACATTCAATGACATATTCACTGTACACAGCATCAAAAGGTATTAGTGTCATTATTAGCTAGCTTTTAAAGGCTGTATTTTATTAGTAAAACAACATTAATTTGCTACACAAATCATTACAAAGAGAGAAGTATTTATCATGCTTTATAAGGCACTGTGATTTTCATGTGACAATTTATTCCTACATGGCTGGAAAATGCAAATAATCTATCAAATCAGGAAGTGGTACCTGTTTTATGAGCTGGAAATATTGAATGCTTTGAGAACACAGGAAAAGTAAGATATATTGACATGCTTTATTGCAGTAAATGCAAGTAAAATTGCTATCACTATTTAAATCTTCGGCCTGAAATAAACTCCAGAAAAATAGGCCACTGTGACATGAGGCAGCTCTCTGTAGAATTAGAGCTTCAGAGATTATTTTTATCTTACTATTTTATCAGTGTAATGAAACAAATTATCCACTGAGTAAAAATTGATTGAACAACATTAATTTCTCAAAATAGAATGAATAGCCAAAACACAAGGGGTTATCTGTTACAGGCAACATTTTGTGCATTATCCATAATACCTTCTCTCTTTTTTTAAAGGAATTCTTAATTTTAATATATTTTATAACCAGTGGCATGTTGGTAACTAACACTAGTGTACATAAACACTTCCACAGAATTTGACATTTGAGTTTTATGTTTTGAAACCAAGAAGGAATTCTTGGCATTTCCTTTTTGCTTTTCACCTAGAAGTTTAGAGAACAAATTATATGCCCACAACACTTTAACCCCTCATTATCATGAGTACATCAGCTAAAGTAGCCCTGCACAAGACAGAGAGTGTGCTCAGCTGCAACAGAAGATTGTGGGCTCAGACTTGCAATTATCGAAAAAGAAGAAATTTTCAAACTCCTTTTGCAAAGTAATACATCCTTGGGGGCCCAAACAAGAAATGGGATGTACAAAATTTCACCACCTCCTTACAGTTTCTTCAAGTTTATTCTCAAATTTTACAGAAATTTGCTTAAGTGGAGTTTAGAATTCTTCCTCAAGAACCTAGTAACGAGAACAAGAACCTGTTCTCTCAATGATACTTCAAAGTGTCATGGGTTTAGGAAAAAAAAAAGAAAAACACTGACACAGAACATGTAAATTTATTGGCATAGTCTTTATTTTAAAGAGATCTCTGCAATTCAGTGAAAGACATTTTCTTCAGGTAGTGATTTAGAAAAAAACTTTTTTACTAATTATTATTTTATATTCTTATACAAATATAAAAATTCTAAAAAGCTGTGACACCTTCTCAGGTCAGAACCCACATTCTTGTTGAATTTCATTTGCAATAATTTCAGATTTATAAGTAAAAAATTAGTAGTTAAAATAAACATTTATGTACAATATAATTGGAAAACCTAACATCTAAGATTAGTTTAACGTAATTTTCAGGGTCTAGGCATGTATTGTCATTCAAAGTACAATTCCTTGTGACTTTACAATAATATCTTTTGTGTTTGAACACCTTCAATATCTCTCTTGTGTTACCATGTTAAAAAAACCCACAGACAAGAGGGGAACTCCACAGGATCTCAAGGAATCATTTAGCATATGCAAATATCAATTAAGCACTTAGTGATACACTGTAGTCTCCAGTGCAGTCTCCAGATATTATTCAAATACATTAATAATAATAAAAATTAACATTTATTTCTTTCTATGCAGCTCCTATTGCAATATTATGGCATCTGAATCAGCAGCAGCTTCCTGGTTTAAGATTTCTACTCTACCTACCTCAGTAATAACGCAGACAGAGCATATTATGACTCAAATGCAAGCAAGCCTTTCTCATCCAAAGATCTTAGTTTTCATGTTTCAGAGGAAATTTTTCCCTGAATTTGGGTTCTAATGAAATAGGGAAACTTCTTCCCAAAGTAAAAACAATGTCCAAGCCAAACTGCAACAAAATTTAAGGCTTTAGGTTAATACATAGGGACAGCAGAAAACCAGGGAACTGCAGCATGAAGCAACAACTTTATAAACCTCTCTAAAGAGATAAAATAATCCAAACTCCTTGTTGCATATGTCTAACACTTTTCAGAATACTGCTATCGAAGTGTATGTACAATAAAAACCACCTAATTTTCATAAAATTTCTGTATAAATATATCACCTTGACACTCTCCTCACAGTGATTTCTATATGTAAATTAAATGTTTTTAATTGCAGTTGTCAGAAGTTTGGGTTTACCTTCATTTTTATTAGAAATCTTCCTTTGCAAAGGAAAATCTCAGGTCAGAATACTTGTGCAGACCACTCTGAATTCACATCAATAAAATTACTAACATTCTGATGTATTTGCCAATCATTTTGTATTTTCAAACAGGGATTGATAAACTGCACAGTTCTCATTCCAGTCGTCCTTGCTTAGCATCACCTATTGCTCCCCATACATCAAATACAAACTCATCTGGGAACGCAAAGTCTCCAAGAGTTTCATCCAAGGCCACTGCAAATTCATCTGGGTTCTTCTTGTCTCTTCCAGCTTCCACAATTGTTGCAGCTAAAAAGCAACAAAACAAAATAATGTAATTATCATGAAAGTGACAGCTAACACACAGGGCCAAGACAGTTTTGGGATGCCTATTTTCAACAGCTGGTGAGGTCAGCTGAGGGAGATGCAAATCTACCAGGTGAATTTAGGATTCAACAGGAAATGATGTACTTTAAGTTTGTGCTTATGCCTCTAGGAAGTGAAAAAGTTATTTCTGAAAATCCCAGCCAGGTGGGTCAAATTGTGCAGAGGGAAGAGAAAGGCTTTGCTGCTGTGCACAACAAACTGGAGCCACCAAACACCAGGAACATCTTGGTATCCAGCAGAATGAAAGCAGAGGAGTTAAAACTATGATATCTTGTATACCAATACTGTCCAGCATTTCCTCTTATTTACCACAAAAGTATCAAAATTTATCAAGTGTCAGAGCTCACTTTTGAAATGGCTACCCTGGGGCTGCTGCTTAGGACTGACTCTTTAGCTGCTGGGCTCATCCCTCACCTTTTGCCACTGCAGTTTCTCGGACTCCAGGAGAACATAGAAGTCTATCCCAAACACTGGATGCTGACAACCCATGGATATTACAGCAAATGAAAACTGTGAGGGCTTAAACCTCTTCTGATCATGACACCTGCACCTCCATGAAGGGTGAAAAGAATCAGCACAGAAATTTCTTCTAGTTAAGCCGGGCCCACAGAATCACTGGCAGCAAGCTACCATGGTTTGAGGGCAGAATGTAAGACACATTTAGCACAAACAGCATTGCTGAATACAGTTTATTTTCTGAGCTGTATCTCTGCTCCACAGCCTCTCTTCACAGGAAAATGATGGTATAGTACAATAGATGAAACATCAAAGTCTGCTTCGTTTTGTGATTACTTTACCATACCTGCCTTAAACTGCTAGGTGTCCTCCATCTTTTGTTAAACATCAAATACCTGCCACTTTCTTCATGAGCATACCAAATTCAAGTGTCAAAATGAAGGATTTGATAGCTTCTAGCCTTTTCTTAGAGGAATAGCCGAACATAAAACACATAATATAGTGCCTGAGAAAGGGAAGGAAGTTTTGAAGCCACAGACAAACATCTTTACTGGTACAGTCTGCCATCTACTACATACACTGTATTGAATCAACATGGCAAAATCTCTCTGATAAAAACAAAAATAAACATTCCCTGCTCTGAAGTTTTACTAAATATAATTGATTTTATTTTGTTGACCTAAAATTCAGCTCAAATTTATTGACAGTTATGAACTTCTGGCAAACACTACTTGCTGTTGTGCAAACATGTAATAGGCTGTAAGCAAGCTTGAGCCATATTCCACACTGCAAAAGTCAACAACAGTAATTCTGAGGAAACTTGATGTTTTGGTTTTAACTGTGTTCAGCTGTGAGGCTCCAAACACAATCACAGTGTGTCAAACTACACAAAGCTGTCCAAAGAAAATGTATGTAAAACTTGACAAATAAATTGCTGTGGTAGAGACAGTTCAAGTGTACCCCAGCTTCCCAATGGTGTACCAGTGGTTCCACTAATGGTTCCCAAGGAGCCTCAAGACCCTGCCAGAAGAAACTCTATCCCTGTTTCACTGATTCTCTCTGTGTCCCCTGTGAAGTTCCCAGGACTCTGATTCAAACAAGTCTGGATGGGAAATGGGCATTACAGAGAGGACTCTTGTTCCTGCTAGTGGAACACAAGGATTTGTTCTGTAACACCACTCTATATTCCTTGACAATGTGGCACAAGAAGGTACTTACAGGGAAGCAAGCCTAGAGAAAATGAAGTGAAGGCTATAATTGAAACTTCACAGATTTCTGAATATGAACTTACTTTTTATAGACACGGGGAGAAGGGTGGAGAGAAAAGAGCTGTGCAAGGTGGCATAAGAGCAAACACATCAGGAAACTGTTACACCAGATATTTAGAAAAAGCTACCATCAAAAGAGTAAGGATCTAGACAAGTGTTCAAGCAGGGTGGGAGTGAGGCATGTAGCCATTTTTAAGACAAATTGGCCAAGAGATATGGAAGAATCATATGACACAGACAGCAGCAATAAAACAAGACAAGAAGGCATTATATCACTGTCCAGCTGTCCTAGCTGATGCTTCAGAATTCACATAATAAACTGCCATTAACAGAAAGTGTAACTTTAAAAAGAACTTTCTTTAAAGATTGCTCTTCAAAGATAATTAAATAGAATCTAAAAAAACTGGTTTATTATAGGTTTACAAAACGTGAAAACTAAATCCGCTAAAAACTTAGCAGATCAACTTTCAACCAAGTAAGAATTAGAACATCGCCGTGCTAAAGCAGCCTCAAAAAAACTTCCATTTTCATGTGTATTGAGTAAGTCCGATCAGCACCGCCGGGCACGTTTAATGCAGTGTATTTCCTGAGGCACACCGGCATTCCCAGTGGGAATGATCTGCCGGAGGGAGCGGGCTCCCGGAGTGCTGCGGCGGAGCGGTGCTGACCTCCAGCGCCGGCGCGGCTGCACCGCCGGGCTCCGCAGCACCGCCGGGCTCGGCCGGGCTCTGCGGCACCGCCGGGCTCCGAGGCACCGCTGGGCACTGCCGGGCTCCGCCGGGCACCGCCGGGCATCGCCGGGCTCCGCAGCACCGCCGGGCTCCGCGGCGGCACCACCGGGCTCTGCGGCACCGCCGGGCTCCGCAGCACCGCCGGGCTCGGCCGAGCCCGCTCCCCTGCCCGCGGGCAGGCCATCTCCTCCGCCACCCCCTCAGCCCATCCCTGCTGTCCCAGGCGGTGCCACAGCCGCGGGCCGGCGTCCCCAGGGCGGCACCGCTGCGCAGAACGCGCCCGCCCGCACGGTGGCATTTGCGGAATTGATGCGGAATTCCCAGGGCAAAGCAAAGCCTGCTGACTGCCAAGGCGTTCAGCAGTTACTTGCCAGCTTGAAGAAAACTTTGCTGGTTCTCAGAGGGTGACAGCTTCTGCCAAATTATCTCCACTCCCCTCCCTTTTCCCACTGCTTCTTGTAAGAGCTGCACAATAAGTGATTACAGGAATTTTACTCCAGTAAAATGTGTTTCCACAGTCAAAAGAGCCTCAATTGTCTTCATATTTTCATTTTTTCAGTTCCTTTCAGGCAATGTTAATATCTGATTAATTTTTACATAAGATGTGAAAAGTTCAGCAATCTTAAAAGTGGTGAAAGGAATTAGAAGTCTCATCAACTTTAACAGAGACATTACTATCAGGCTTCCCAGAATATGGACAAAGTAATATTTCAAATATAGTTCCTTTAAAATAACCTCAAAGATCTTTCACAAAATCCTTATTTTCACTTTTAATATACACATGGGGCACATGGTAGCCATGAAAGCTACCTTCTGCCTGCCATTCTTATTATCTACCTTACACAGTGGTTTTGCTACCTATATCCTATATCCTTTTCAGAAGTCCTGACAGAAGCCTCAATATTTATTTAGCTGTAATGCTATTAGAAGTTTTGCCTTAATCAAAAGGTAACAAATATTATTGTTCTGTCTTGTCACTCTAACGCAGAAAATGAAGCATGTTATTGCAGTTTCCATTGGTTTCCATTCCAGTTGGTTTAAGTTTCACGTTGAACATTGCCAGATTTGGTACTCAAGAACTATTAGAAATAGTTCTTCTTGTTCCTTTTTCTTAAGTACTAATTCTTCTTGAAGTTTTTTTGTTTGTTTGTTTAACTGGACTTGCTGCCCTTCCTTTTATCAAAAAAACTCCCATCATTCTTTCAGAGAAAATGAATAGCCATAAACAATATACCCCTGGATGTATGCAATAAAATCCTTTGGGAAAGGAAGTCTGGTGACAGAAGGAGAAAAAAACAACAGATTCAGGGAAAATATCACTTCAGTTAAAGCATTTAGAGATAAAAACATCTATTGAATATTGATGGATTGGATTTGCAAGCCAAGAGAAAAAACTTGGGTAACAAAAAAGGTTTAAACATGTTAAGTATATTTTGATAGATGGTAAATTTGAAAAATGAAGTCAAAAATGGAGAAGTAGATTTCAAATTTTTTTAACAAACAGAGAATATGCAAGGGTATCTCAGCCTGATCTCAGTGATGGAAGGTTATGAAACCGACTATCTTGTGTGTGATCACATAGCATGGACAGGACAAACCAGGGCAGGTCCAGCCAGCATGGGTTTAGGAAAGGCGGGTCCTGCCTGACCAAACCTGATCTGGTTTTATGACCCACAGGATGAGGGAAAGACTGTGGATGTGCCTACCCGGACTTCAGCAAAGCCTTGGATACTGTTCCCCACACCTTTCTCCCAGAGAAGCTGGCAGCCCATGACTGCACCAGGGGATGTTCAGGTTGGACATCAGGAAAACTTTCTTCACTGAAAGGGTGGTTAAGCACTGAATGGGCTCCACAGGGAAGTGGGAGTCCCCACAGCTGGAAGTACTCAAGAAATGACTGGGTGTGACACTCAGTCTATGTTTAGTTGGCACGGTGGTGCTTGGTCAAAGGTTGGACTCGGTGATACTGGAGCTCTTTTCCAGCCCCAATGCTGCTACAATACATCATGTCTGATAATATTATAGAGAGCAACAGAAAGGAAATAATCATCCGAAAGCAGAAAAATAGAACAAAGGAAACAAAATATTGGTGGATGAAGCCAAAAGATGCTGAAAAAAAAAGTGGACAGGAAGCCCTTTTGCCATCATTTACAATCAATAGCATTCTGTGGTTAGATCCAGGCTTCCTCCCACCCAGAATTTTTGGGATTAAATACAGTCCATAACAATTCAAGTCTTACTGATTCAAAAAAATAAATGCCAAAATTTTTCACTAACACTGTTTCCTGAGTCGTTCCTATTAATCAACTGCTCAAATTCCTTTACCAGAAAGCACTCACAGAATTTAGAACAACCTTTATTACCTCTCAGCTGTATATTTATGTTTTAAAGAATGCTGAAGTCAAGCCTTGGCCCAATTTCTAATGTGCCCATAAAATGGCTGAGGAATACATTTCCAGAGCAGACTGTCCCTTCTCTGGATGACGTACAGTTTTCAGTACAAAGGAATGAGGAAGTAAAAAGGTAAAAATGCATCCAAAAGCAGGTATGTAAATCTCAACAGCATTTAGATCTCTGAAAATAAAAGTAATAAAACTGTGCCAGAAAAAAGTGCATGCATTTTCTTTAAAAATTTCCAAGTATTTTGGTCCAGGGATTTGTGTGTAGATTTAGTCAGCCATTCTTGAAACTGTCAAGATACTTAACCATGCAAAAATTAAGGGCTTTATCTTACCTTTAATTCTGTTGGTAATTTAACATTAGTTTTTCTTTCCTTTCTTTCTAACTTATTGCTTAAAACTGGGGCACTGTTTCAGAATTCAATCACACCATGGAAGTGTCATTTTAATGGAGATGAAAGAGTAACATTAACTGACATCCAAAGATTCTGACAAACAGAAGTGCATGGAAGTGAGCAATGATTGAGATCTTAATCACTTGTCAGCTGCACATTGTGATGACTTGCATTTTCAACTAATCTGGCTTGAGTAATGAGTAAAATTTTGTGCTAAGTGGTGATTGGCATTCTCTGAATTAATCTCTTCCTCCTATTTCATTTTCATGGGTGACTGATCACATCCAGTATGTGAAAAACTGACATGTGTTAACTGAACAGATTTGTGACAGGTGATTAGCTCTCCTTTCCTAAAGAAACCTAGAGCTGTTTAATTGTTTTAAAATGGTAAAGTTGGGGGCTTTGAGTCATCACTGTTGGCTGTTAACTCTCAGATTAGAACTTCAGGATATGGCTTCAAAGGTGCAAACTAAAGCTACATGAACCCAATAGTCTTTGATTTCTGACAGCTCCTCTTGGTTTCATTCTTCATTTCCTCTTGGGAGGAAAATAAGAGGTGAGGGACAAAACAATCACCATGTTGGGAAGAAAAGAGCCTCTCTATGAACAAAGACCTCTTCCTTCTTAAAAATTCTTAAAAAATACTCTTCTGAGTATTTTTAAGGCTTTTTTTTTAAGTTTCCAAACTACATGCTGAAATATGAAGGACACTAGATCTTTTTGAGGGGAAAAAAATTCAAGGAATTCATGGGAAAACTCTACCAGGTGCTTGGCTATTAACTCAAAGATATGTGTTGAAAGCTGAACATCTCAGTCTACTGTGCAAGAGCCATCCTGTTTACAGTACTGAGAGCCAAAAATACAGGGAACACCGTTCCCACAGGACCGCTCCCATGGACACCAGAAGCAGAGCACCTACAGCTGCTTATTCCTGTAGGGCAAGGAGCCTGGGGACCTTGGAAGTAACCTGCAAGGACAGGAGCTTCCAGAAGCCCAGCCTGAGCCAGGATTGCAACAGCTGCAGGACAAAAACAGCTCCCAGAGGACAGCTGGCAGGGGACTCAGCTTTGAAGCCTGAGCCAGACTGAGGCACAGAAGTTGCAGGAATGAGATGGGACATGGAATCCTCCCTAACCTAAACATGACTCAGCAGCACACAGGCCTCCCAGGAGTGTAATACATGGCAGCAGCATCACATATTAGAGTTGCTGGGAACAGAAATGTTGAGAACTTCTAGTTTCCTGGGAATTGGTAAGCTTAGATAGAACATACAAAATAGAGGGCAGGTCTGCCCTCTCTTCTATGCCAGGAAGCCCACTTCTACCTTAGACTGAAGGATAGATATTGTCTTATTTATGTTTTTTCCTGTGAGAAAACTAGTGGAATCTGCCAAACAGATGCTTGCTGGTCAGAACACTCAACAAAGGCCTTTTGGCTATTCAGATAACCATCCTTTGTTCTCACTCCTCTGTGCTAACTGCTGCCCCTCCAGCCCTGATGCTTCCCCTCTGGAGCTTCATGCCAGACCTATTTTCTCTTCTGCTTTGCCTTTTCCACTTCTCTCTCATGAAAGCTTTCTTTTCAAGATCACTTTCCATTTAGCCTATTCTTTCCTTTTTCTTGGCTGATTCTTTTAAGATATTACCATAATAATAAATACCTTCCTCTTTGTCTCAGTACCAGCAGCTCCACAAGATCCTAGGAGGATTATAGCAGCCACAGCAGGCTACAACAGCTAGACTGCAGCTTCTTCCCACACAAATAGAAATTCCTATTCAGTTATTGTCAGAACAACAAAGAAAAGCAACAGCTGCAAGGACAAATTTGGTGCATCTTTAAGGAACTTATGACACTGGGGTTAAGTAGTTTCTTTCAGTATGAATCAACGATTCCTATAACTAGTAAATATTCTGTAAGTTTTCTCATGTTCATCAGAACACAGGTTTTAGACATTTTGATAAATTTGTGCAATTAGTCTGTCAGTTCCCTTGCTGAATAGTTGCTTCTTCACTGATGAAGATCTCAGGTTCAAACCTTAGCAAACAACTTTGATGGGTCTATGCCAAGGGGCAAAAAAGCAAACAAACATACTTATCCTTAAGAATCCTTAACCATGGCACACACAAGATTCACTAGAAAATAAATGCCAAAAAGAATACAGTGGTGACAGTTATAGCAAACAACTAAAAAATTCATGCAACAGTGTATATGGCTAATGTGCAGAAAGAATAGAGGATTGATTGAGTAATTACATCATTACACTGAAGTGGGAGGGAGATTCTTTTATCAGACAAACATATTTGTAGAAACACAGGCAAGTTTTTAAGACTGCAGGCTGGACAAATTTTGCTTCACTTACATCCAGAGACTAAAGTACTCAATAAATGTTAAGACTACAGAAAATGAGAAATTATTTAATCTTGCAGTAATGTATCTGCTAAAAACTCACCTAATTCAATATCTCTTATGCCCATGTATGTTTCAAGAAACTCATCCACTTTTTTAATTGCTTTTTCTTCAACTTCAGTTGGCTTTGTTGGAATAAAGGGAGAGAAGAGCAAAAGTATGATTATACCTATGCAGATTTCAAAACAACCAGCAATGTGCCAGTGATTATCCTTACTCCCATCTTGGTCACCTAGACTTATAAAATCTAAGATAAAACACACTATTCCACTCCCTTTCTCTCTTCTCACAAACATGAGTTTCCTCCTCATATCAAGCCACACAGCTCACACATTCAAACTGAACAGGGCTTTATATCTCTTGACAATACACATCTCCATCAAATCCTCATCAGCTAGAAGAGCCCAGAATAAATAATATTTATTCACCAAACTCTATACTTGGCTTTGCACAAATTCATGTCAATGTATCTAATTAGCCTCTCCTAACAACAACCTTTACACCAACCCCATAGACTTCAGTGTCACAAATGAAACAAATTCTTTACAACCATCTCACCTCTCTTTCCCCCCGCCCCCTCTTTTCAGCACCCCTTGGTCTAATCTAAATTCATCCATGTAATCCATGACATCTAAATATAGGTTCTGTGCTTCCAGGTTCTTCAGCCCCATCCTCCCTTTAGTTGTTCTCTTTAGTCCCACAAGCTTTCTAACATCCAATTTTTCCTTCCTACTTATCAGCCTTGGGGAAGAATAAATCAGAAGCTGGGTGATTAAACTACTGAAGGGCATATACCACACCATACCATTTCCTCCACAGTAGCAGGGCCTTTGGCTCTCAGGCGAAGTGTTTCTCTCCCTTTGGAGATTTTAGCCTCTGACAGAGTTCTGCCTTTGGACCTTGGTTCCAGCCTTTCTAAAGACAAAAAAAAAAAAAAAAATTCAACAAAAATAAAATACCAAACAAAACTACATATACAGTACAACAGAATATGAGGTATCTGTTTTGGTTATTACAGTATCTTCACATTTAGTCTAATAGAGATCTAGATTACATTAAAAACTAATTATAAATTAACTATTCTAAGTATAGCTTTACTGACAATTTCTTGTCTTTAAATTGTAGTATCTGCTCAGCTGCACTGAGGCTAGGACTTCCATTGACCAATATACCCAAGCAGGTCTATGGCATTCATTTCATATATGTACCTTGTGTAATTTTATTTCCCTATTCTAGAGGGAAGTATTTATACCTTTATATTAGACAGTGGCTGAATTCACCAGCCAACTGCTGATTTATTCGGGTCTCTACAGGCAGAATACATAGGAGGTTTAGCATTGCAACGTTTCTATCTTTCACTGATGCAATGGTGCAAACACTCCTGCTAAGCAGGTGATGATGAGCCACACAGAGCTGAGCTAACAATTTGCTTATCAGCGCTCACAGAGGTGAAGTGGCCATGAGCCGATCTGCAGGAGGTTTTCCACTGGTTTCACCAAAATTATTTCACACCTGATAAAACTCTACAAAGAGTACCTGGTTTACACGAAGTTTCCTTTACCTGAATTCAGCCTTTCTTGTTTCATCCTGGGTAAAGGCACCCCAGTTAGTAGATAGAGCATGGAAACATTTAAGATTTGAGTTCTTGTTCCAGGATGCAATTTTACATTCAATTTTACATACATGGCAAGGCTTTAATTTACTTACTGACATGGGAATTACATAGTGAGTCTGGAAAGTCCTAGATGAGAGGAGACAATTTTGCAGAACTGCTTTTAATTGTCCTGTTACCTCTAACAGATTATTCCTCCTCTTAATAGCAGGTCTTTCTAATAATCTCTTCTTGAAGGCAGTACTTTAACATATTATATTAATTTTGCTCAGATAGATTTCAACTCATCATTCTTGCATAAGTGGAAACAAATCTAGATTATTATGCTTGAAAATTAAATTTTGTTAGCTTTCATTATACAAATAAGTATGCCACAATGTGTTATATATATACTTAGGATAAACACTTTTTCTTAATCCTTTTATTGCTTCAAGGACAGTTCAAAACGTCCTTAAGACTGTCATTATTTCTGCTAGACTTTCAAAAAGTCATTCCTTATTAAAAAACCCATATTTTTCAAATTCTGTCACCATAATCACCTTAAAACTCATGATTTGACATAACTTTTTTTTTGAGTACTTCAGACCAAAACACTCTGGCTAGCACAGAACTATTTTTCATATTCACTCATTAAAATGCAGAGTTTCTATTATGCTGCCTTTACTTTGTTTCTATTCACTTTTCACAATTCACAGATGCTTGTGACTGGTACAAATCTTTAGTTCTGTGTTACAAGCCTTGCCTAGAGGAGCTGAGACAGTCTGTGTGTACATGGTAGAAGGATGTCCAACCAATAAATTATCTTATTTCACATTCCGCTGAGAGGAAGAAAATAAAAATAATTTCACACAGAGGCTTGTCTCTTATTTCTGTACCCTCACCAAATACTGATGAAATTAACAGGAATTCAGCACCAACTTGTCCAGCAAGATCTGGATCTTGTCTGTCATTTCCTCTGGGGCTATTCTTAGTGCTTAAGCTGCAGCTGAAGCATTATCTTTGTGCCTGAAGCCTAACTTTAACTAAGGCTAAAGGCAGAACGTTTAACCTACTGAGCACTGCAACTTGCAAGTTAATTTCTGCAGGGTAAAAAAACAACGTCTTCCCAAAATCTGTCCACAAAGCTCTGGCTGCCTCTTAAATCAATGCCAAAAAAAAGGTATTGCCATGAAATTAGTGCATTTCCTCCTCTACAACACAGGCAGACTAAAAGGTATCATAGCACCCAACTAAAGGAAAAACTACTAAATTATGGCTGAGGTCATCAATCAAATGCTGATTTACCCTGTTCTTTACAAACTGACTGTGTAACACTTCTAGCATTGAACACAAATTATAGGCCCATATTAAAAAAAGGTATTGCTGCATTACTAATTGTGATGGACAACACATGCAATTCTTTAGCATAATGTATAACATACACATTTACTTAACAGCAGTACCAGCTTACATACAAACACATTAGAGATCAACTCATAACTCCCATTCTTCACAGAAGCAACAAAAGAAAAAAAAAATATCTCGGCATTTCTCTCATTTTCAATTTCTGCTGCTATTCTGACACCAAGTGTCAAGACTGGTGTATGACAGTAGCTGTAAACTACTAACACATTTAAAAAAAATGAAAAATAAACATTAAAAATTTTTGCTGCTGTAGTGAAGACAGTGATATTGAACTGACTGTTATTTCAGGTGTGCAGAAGGCCTCACACAAATTTATGATTTAGCACTATTTAGAAGTTTTTATTACAGGAAAATGTTACATGGTTTGGGGAGAGAATCCAAAAAATGAGATAATAAAAATTGTAATTCAGTCTCTATTTTGACTGCCCGAGCAAAACTTCCCCTTTTTTTTTGTTTTTTACATTGATAGAGTTAATATATACAAGAATTAGCAGTAGGTATGCATTCCTCCTGTTTAAGCAGCACTTGCTCAGAGCATGCAGGTGGCAAGCAAGACAGAGCTTTGCAATTCTGCTTTCTTCCAATTCTGAGTACAACTGCTGCATGACTGGAGATCCACAAAAAGGCTGGAAGGGAGATAGGGAAAACAAGCAAGCTGGCAGCAAAGGAGGTGCTCTGGGGAATCCCAGACAGTGCTTGCTGCAGACTCCTTCTGCATTAGAGAGCACAGACCCCAATAAAGGGTACAGAAATAGAAAAGTCTGACACAAACAATAGGGATTATGTATCAATGGAGGAAAAAAGGAGTTTTGAGGATCAGGACATAAGTGAAGTGATCCATGTTTTAAAACCATACCTATGAAACAATTCCTGTTCTAATTTTGGAACATCACGTAGTGGCAAAAGAGACTGACTAAGGCTCAGGTGAGGTAACCCACACCAGGATGACTGCTGGAGAAAGCAAGATGGAAGAAAATCCATTCATAAATCTTCCATTTCAAAGAAAAAACCTAAATGTACTTTCTTGCAGTTGTTACATTACCACACGTGGACATCTGGCTGCATTCTGAAAACAAACAGTGTAATGCAATGATGGCATTTTACTATCAAGGTGTTTTGCTGAACAAGGTGGACAGTCAGGTCACTCACCAAATGCTTTCAAAGGCTCTACCAACTCCAGCTTAAACTTCTGACCTTTCTCCAGATCTTTTAGCATTTTGGCAACTTCATAATGCCGACACTCTGACACATTTTTCCCATTTATGGTCTCTATGTGATCACCCACGCAGACGGTTTTGGTTTGGTCCATAATGCTGCCTTCTTTGATTCGCTATTGTTTGAAAAAAACCAACACCACCAGAATTAGAAATTTCTTTAAAAGGTGATAGTTTTTAAGAGGTGACACCACCAAGTTTCAAGAATGTCAGTTAACACTATCAATACTACTGAGCTTATTATTCCATCAGTGTGTTTTGTCTATAAGATTATCATTAAACATATTTTGAAAAGCATTATTTTTCAAACAAAGTATTTTAATAAGCACTGAATATACACTCAGACAGGGGAAAAAAAGGATGCAACCACACTTCAGAAATAAAAGAGTTCTGAATAACCTAATATTTTTGTGCTTTAAAACTGATCATAGGCATGTCAGTAATGTGAATGGTTATTCAAGGTTTTGGGATTTTTTCTATTTAATACCTTGACAAGCACAGGAATATAATTTTTTCTCTTCTCCAGTATGGTCCAGGGTCTTAGTAAAAAATTACACACTGCAAAGGGCTGATCTTAATAAGACCCATCCCCAGTGCTGAAACTACTATTTCACTCATTAAGCTACACAGCTGTATATTAAAGGATATCCTCTGAAATAATAAAGAATAAGAAAATGTTTTAACTGCCATCTCATGGAAAACACAAATAGTCTGAAGGCCATAACAGAAGTTACAGCTCTTACAAAGTGTAATTTAAAAAGTATGAGGAAAAACCTTTAAAATATCTCTATGATTTGTCACACTTCAAATTTCAGTGATTCTGTTTATTGTTGTTACATACCATCATAATTTTTCCATCCTGTGCATACATCACATAATCCATTTTCATACGGCTATTGAATAGAAAAACTATGACATAGTAAAATATCTTTTATTTTGCAGATACAAAATTCATTCTAACGTGTTCCTGAATAACAATCTTTTCACAAAGACTGTCATTCAGGCTAACTTTGCTGAGGTAACAGTGAGACCAGGCAGAAGAACGCGTTGCCACCTCCCACTGTAGCAGCCTGGCTGCGCAATCCGCCAGGAGCTGCTCCCACCCCGCGCACGTCTGAGCCCACTCGTGTGCCTCCATCTGAGAGTCAGTGGGAAGTGTGAGTGCTCACTGGCATACCGTGCACTGCAATCATTTTAAGCTTCAGGCTGAGTTTAACTCCTTCTAGCACCAAACAGAAGCCTCGTGGTGAATGTGGACGTGGGTACTGTACACACCAGAAACCAAATGTGCCAAATGCGTTCCTGTTACCAGGACTCAAACCCTGTCCCACCTGGCTTCAATGTTTAGTCTACATGTTGAATATTCATTTAGCTTTTCTTCTGCACTTGGATCCCAACACTAAAACTGTTTAAATAATATTCACTGTCTGTTATTTGTGTCGCTTTTTATCATCACTCTGAGTTAACTGACTGAAACAGTCGATCTACATTGTCACAGTAATTAAGATGCAATTGCCTGTATTTCAAGTGCTCTACAGTCCATTGAGAAGCTATGAGGATCTATATTTCCTATTCCATTTGATAATGTCTCCTTGTACACCACTTCAACTTCTACTGCTGTTCTTGGAATGCTAATTTGACTCCATAATACTTTCTCCCACCCACCTGTACCCCAAAAACAAATTTGTGAAAGCAGAACGACACCGGGTTTTGTTCTTAGTAATGCAAAACAAGATTAAATTTCATAGGAAAAGAGCCCTGCAGTTCAGTGTCAGGTTTAAAACTGGTTGGGTAACCATATCAAATCTAGAAACCTCCCTATTATTCAAAATGCAGTAAAATAACTGCAGCCCATAGCAATCTTCAACAACCCACCAATCAGTAAATTCAGTATTAATTTTAATTAAGAATGTGATAGTTACAAATTTTTAAGGACAATATATGTATATAAGCAAAAAAAAAATCTATAAAACTTTAGAGACAGTCTCTGCTTAGTCATTTACCTAGACAATGAAGTAAAAAAAAAAAGATGCAGCTTTTACTTTTGTATATGTGTTTTCTGTGCTGATTTAAAAGATTCATTGGCTAAATCTGCAACAACAACAAAGTATGCTCCTGGAAACTCCTTAAAATTGATGCATTCCCATGAAGACCACACCATTTTCATTACAATGCTTATTATTAGACCAGTACAGGATAAAATAATACCTATTTGCTCAGAGGACTTTTACACAATTTACTGGAAATTACAGCTTGTCTGGCTAATGTTGTGAGGGTTTTCCAGTGTGCTCCAGTTGTGCAGTAGTCTGTGTGAGGCCTGTTCTCTCTGCCTGTTACCAAGCAAGCACAAAGGGAGTGCCACTGCACAGGGCTGCACTCGTGAACGCTGCTCACTGAACCACTGCTTTCAATGCCTTCTTTTAAAATGCCACAAAAGCAGCAGCACGACTGAATGTTATGGGCTGAATAGATGCCACCACTAGAAATTCACAGTTTTTTGTCTATAAAAATAAAAGCTAGGCTATGATTTTGCCAAAATGCTTAGTGAAACCTTTACTGCATCTTGACTTTCACAAACATGACCTTAGTCACATTTTTCCACAACAAAGACAAGCAAACCGATTTCTAAACCATGTCTTGTTTTATAGCCATGGTAGCTAAGGAATGAACAGAAAATACAACCTCTCCATACAAGAAGCTCTGTTTACAATGAGAGGAGTGACTGGAGCAGCAGTAATCAAAGATAATTGCTAATGCCTCACTAATAATGGATAATTGGAGTATATTAGAGTAAAGAATCTCAAAAAGGCAGAAATTGTGATTAAGGTTCCTAATACCTAGTCTAGCAAGGACAGCATCATTTCCTCAGCCTCTACTTGTCTCAAAACATACTGCCTCTAGGTCATATAGAAGAGGAGAAGGAAAGTAATTATGATTAATTTACTGAGTATATTACTGTCCATACTTGCTACTCAAGCCCATTGTGGTAAATTGTGTTAATCCATATCCTTGAAATTCACCCTATCTCAGACAACAATACTGGAAAGCTGAAAAAACACTATACTTGCCCCTACTCTTGTACAGCACAAAGGCTTCTGCCCTGGGAACAGCCAAAGACTGAAAGAACATGATCTCATTATCACATGAGTGAAGAAGTTCTATAAGCATCTAATAAATGACATCAGAAAATCAGTTTAAAACAGGAGGGGGCAGATGCAAGCAGTATCTAACACCTACCACCTCAGGGTAGCCCAGGAGATACAATGGCCTCATTGTAAAGCTGATACATGTTACAGAAGCAATGAACAAATGAACTGATTTTGAATGACATGCAGTACAGATTAGCTGAACTAATTTTCAATTATGTACCTAAAGAAAGGAACTTTATTCTTTACTTAGCATATATATGATTATAAAAGATTTTATAGTTCTAAAGGATCATTTAACCAATAATTAACCTATTATAGTAACAGAAGCTTCTATGGAACAAAGTATTTCACTGGTAATCACGTTTACCTTTATAAAGGCACAGCCAGTTCCATTGTCTGTAATGGTAAGTCCCAGCATATCATCAGTTTTAAGAATTTCCACTTCTTTTCGCTGTCCTTTCACATGGGCAAATATGAAATCTTCAAGGCCAATTTGTGCACCTAAGAGCTTGTCCATATCAACTTTATGAGTGTTCAAAGTGCAAAACATGATCTGTGTGGAAGGAAAGCAAACACATTGACAGTGTATTAGGTTTGGTGAGCTTGATAGGAAGCTAAAATGAGAGTACAGTTCAGGCCCCTGCGACAGGTCCATGGCTAAAAATGATCCCCCTTCTTCTCCAGCTACACCAGGAGAAGGAATAGTCTCCATCCACACACAACAGAAAGCATCAGGAGCTCAAATTGCAGGTGAGAGCTGGCAGGGAGCACAGGAAAGGGACCTCCCTGTGTGAGCAGCCTCTCAAGGCCTGTCTCAGCACACCAGCCCTGGGACAGGCATCCTGAGCGGGTACAGCTTGCACAGAGGTCAGAGTTAGCAACTGAAGAGCCATCACCATCCTGTGCTTCATCATTCACCCACCTCAAATTCCACCCCATTCAAAGATCATTAGGGAGTACTTTAAAACTTGATTAGTTGAAAGCAATTTAATGGGGGAAAAAAATAGAGCTTATCAAAACAAAAGAGTCATGAGAGAGCATAACATTATTTGTATTGCTCCATGTGTTCCTTCATTAGCTCAGAGCACATTGCCTCCAATGGACTTGCTTAGCTCCTACCTTTCCCCAGCATGAGTTGGGGTCATCCCTGTTCCAGTAAAAGAAAGCCTTAATAGAAAGGTCAAATTGCTTCTTTATAAATCAGCTTTTCTGAGGAATTTCCCTTCAGCACTGAATATCAGGCAGTCCTTTTTCTCCCTACACTTACACCAGTTCTTCAGCAGGGAAGATTCTTGTCCTGGGCATAGGCAGGGTGAGAGCAATCCATCTGTACTGCCTGGGAACAGAGATGCTTTTGCCCACCACGGAGAAGCATGAAGGAATTTGGCCAAGCCCAGCACACCCATCACAGCTACAGTAATGACACATGCCCCAGCCTGTCCAAGCTGCAGCAGGAGAGGAATGAGGGCCAAGGCAACCCCAGCTTCCTCCTGGGCAGCACGGAGAGCACAGGGCAGCAGCCAAACCAGAGAAACTGCGCTCCAAGAGAAACTTGGGAAATCCCTAAAATCTGCTTCACTGAGGCAAAGACATGGGTTTTCCATGCCAGAACACTACACATGTCTTTTCTTTCCTTCTGGCATCACTGGATGAAAGTAGAAAAATTGAAATGAAAGTCACCAACCTCTTTAAATTGATTCCAGGTCAAAGAAAGAGTGGATACTTTTGCTAATGTATTTCACAGAGAGCAGTCAAGTTTCTGGAGCTTTCTAGGACTTAGATTCTGTAACGATGGAGGTTTTAATCTTAAAAGACTGAAAGTTAATAGAATGTGTTCCTTGACAGACAGTCTTGTTTAGTTGTTGTTTAAAAAAAAAAAAAAAAAAAAACCTAAACAGCATTATTCAATGGCTACTTGCTTATCTCATCTAATCCATCAAACATCCAGTGCAATCTAACACCTTATTAAACACCTTATTTAATGAAAGTCGTAACAGCACACTCTTAACAGATATTAGTTTTATTTCCTCGGGTAATGTAAAGGTTTTCAGTTAAACAGTACTCTAGATATAAAAACACCTGGAGAAATGAATCTGGTTTTAAGTAGAAAATTGAATATAATAATAATGATAATAATAATCCCTAAGGACAAGCTCTTTTTTTAAACCAAAAAAAGTAAAACGGATTATATCAATTTCACATACACATTTTCAGCTCTCTCAAGCTACATAACTTTGCCAGTTTAAAATGGTGACTCAGTTCTCTGTTCATTGTTCCTGCAATGAATAACAAGCACCGTCCTTACATTTTAGACATTAGCATCCTTCATCTGACCTTGTCAAATAGACAATCTAGTAAATACTGTCACACCTTTGAATAGATAAAATTGGCAACAGAGCAGAAATGTGATATTTAGAAACTTGATCCAGAGTTTCTCTTTATAGATCTTCATCTGGATGGCATTCCTACTACAGCCTATAAGTCTGCAGAATTTTTTGTGAGTCAGTTCAGTGCTAGCCACAAGGTTGAGAGAGCATCAGCTAGTCAAAAATAAAACTTAAATCATACTTCATCCTCTTTAGTGATCAACTGCTTTTTCTCAGAACAGATATACGTAAAGAGTAATGTACTAAAGATGTATCTACCCAGAAAGATATACCACTACACCATCTACCAGTTATAGCATAGCTTTATTTGTACACAACTGAAACCTATTGATTCAAAAATGGTATTTTTCATAGATTTTATATAAGTTTAATAATGGTACCTAATGCCAGATTATATACTTGAATACTTAAACAATAGGTTCCACTCACTCGAACTTTTGTATATTTTTACTAGTAATTTTCTTATTAAAAAATGAAACCAGAAAAAAATTCAGTGTGCAATTCTCACGGTTAAGTCTTTTCTGCCCTTACCCTAAACCTTCATAGGTAGTTGGTTTCTAACTCAGTATACCAGTGCTGTGAATATTTCATGCCAACTTTAGCAAGATATTATAAATCAGAACTGTTACATCAGTCACAAAGTATCTAGGATACCTCCTTCACCAAGAGTTATCTTCTGCAGCACTCAGAAGAAAATTCCATGTCACTGGACACTGGGGGCTTATGCACAACTTTATAAAATAGATTTGTCCAATAAGATTACTAACAGATGATTCCCTGCATCCATATTTTCAACTGGAAGCGACCACATTAGCCAATAAAACCAGGGCTATATAAGGAAATATAAATATATGTGTTACATAAAGAAATGGTATTAGCTAAGAAAAAGAAGCTTACATGATGTGTTATATAAAGTATATATGCAGTACCATATTGCATGTTGTATACATTAATTGTACTTTCATCTTCCATATTGAGCTGACACCTTGAGAAGAACTCAATAATAAGTTGATTGAGAAATTACGTACTCAGAAGCTATAGAAAATGTATTAAAAATCTCAGATAACTTTACAGATATCACAATCACTTTCTGTTTAAGAGGTAGGGAAATTTTAATTCTGAGCAAGATGTAACACCCACTGACATATTTCCCTACATACACAGATGTCATCATATCAAGAATTCACCAACACATTTTCTAGGTATCTTACTCACTTTATCTTCCCCGAGGAAAATGTGAGAGACTTGACCAGCTTCAGCAACAGTAACCAGCTCCTCCAAGTTCTAGTGAGCTTTTGGTACTGTCAGGTATTCTGCCTAGTCAATACATTCAATGGCTTATAAAATAAGCATTCAGTGTTTAGCTGTTTGTTTTGAAACTTGGTTGGTGGGGTTTTTTTTTGTTTGGGTTTGTGGTTTTTTTGTTTGGTTTTTTTGGTTTTTTTGTACACAAGTATTACAGTGTAATACAGTGTTCACAAGTAATTACAGTGTAAGTTCTTCCATCCAGTTATTCCATGCTAATATTTCAAATACTTTCAACCTAAGTATTGAAAAAGACACAGCAAGCATCACATGCGGGTGTGACATTTAAGCACTGCTTAGGGAAATAGCAAGCAAACAATTCTTGCCATAGGGTTGGGAGGAGGTGTTTTGTAGGGAGTGTTAAATTTGCTCATTTAAAGTATTCAATCTGTAGGCGTGATTGTGAGCAATTTGCTTCAACAGATAAGCAGTAACAATAAAACTTCCAACATTTTGGTGATGAGGATTTCACAAGCTGACCTTTTTCTCTAAAACACACTTCAGATTTTTTATTGTTAAAAGGACAGTTTTGCTCAGAAACACAAGTTTCAGCAGTGGCTTATTTGTCAGCAGTCTTTCATAAAAGTTTAAACTGAACAGGTTTAAATCAAATAGTTCTCTAAAAGTTTAATGTGGCACAGCCTCACGGTATACTTGACTGTTTAGCATGAGGAGGCAAGGCCTGTGAACAACAGCCCGCACACAAGCTCAGCAGCTGGACTCTTGCTACTGGAAGAGAAAGAGGGAGAAATCTTTCTGCATTTCTGCCAGAAAGATTTCTCTTCCCCTGAATTACCCTTGTGATGCAAAACTCCTTCCACTGTGAAAGAAATCCCAACCTCCAAGGGCTCTGGACAGACACAGCCATCGAGCATTAAGTTTAGTTCACCAGCCCCACCATATTTCATCTTTAAAAGCAAACAAAATAATTAAAAGGCAAATTGCAAGTAGGCAAAAGAAAAGTCCACACAGCCTCTATGGGTTACCATTCCCTTCTCATCTGATCAAGAAAAAGCCCAGCTACAGCTGGACTTTAATATCCAGGTTCTCAGTGCCCGATTAGTTATTCTGAATACTTTAAAGCCCTACCATGTGCTCTCACAGGAGCACACCACCACCAAATGCCTTAACAGACCCACATTGTCCTTCAGTCAGTGCTCATTTATTTATCATACAGGCTGCACTCAGCACTTTCACCTTTAGGGGAACATTCCCTGCTACATTCCCAACAGTCAGAGTGGAGTAGTAATCCTTAAAGGCCAAAGCTACACGTAAATACTTTTTCCAACTTTTTTTCCTACTTCAACCTCCATAGAAAAAACAGGGGAACATATTTCTATTACTTATGCAAATAGAAACATACACGTAACTGTGTGTGGGTTGTGTTGTTAGTTAAGAGCTGCATCTATCTATATTTTTTTAGCTCTGTGCTTCCTTGTTGAAAGCTTGCTGAAGTAATCAAGTTAAAAGGCAAGAACAATGTGATGTACCTTAAACAACACTCATAATAATGATGCTGGAAATGATAAAACTTACATTTTTTAATGTAGCTTTAGTCAGGAGTTTGTTCTCCTTTGCCCAGAGGGAGGGGAATTGAAGTCTCTCTACAATACTCTTCACAGGGATTTAAAATTTAAAATTTTAACATTCACAGATTGGGAGTAGCCAGAATATACATAGGAGATAAGAGATCATTATCGACCATTACCCCCCAACATCACTCCCTGACAGGGCCTGAGACACCTGGTCTGGGAAAAGACTGATAAGACAACTGAAAAATGAGGACCAAATTAGCACCGAAGGCAAAGGGATCAATAACCAATAGGAGATCAAATACTAAGAATTGCCTAATTTAAGACCACTGTACAAGAACTTCTTAGGGTTTTGTCTGTATTTCTTTTTCCTGCAGTTTTGGTGACAATGACACAGGCAATGTATTGACTCCTCCTCCCTGGGGAAAGAAAGAACAGCCACATTGGACAGAGAAAAGCAGAAGCGCTGGAAGTTCTAAAAGTCAGAGAGGTAGGTAGAAAGGGAGGCTTCTGCCTACCCCTCAGCTCAAAAGGGCTAAGATATATATAAAATACCTACAAGAAAGGATGAGTACAGGAAAAGCCTCAAAAAGCAGCTGTTATGTCTCACTCTTTCATAGATACCCAGCAAAGATCCCCTTTGAAGTGATACCCACCCTGTCCCCATCCCACCCTACTCATGATCCAGGTCTGCACAGAAGTTTCTGTCAGTGTCTGTCCAACAAATACTGTGTTTTATATAAACTTCTCTCTGTCACTGCTGGCAGTCAATCACAGAACTTGGAATGGATTCTCCAGCAGAAACTAAACTCAGCTGGTCCTGGGAGGTGCGATCCAAAGAGGAAAAGTGTTGTAACCATGTGGAGTCAAAAGGAGAAGCGACATATTACAAGTACAGCTCATTCAGAATCGTATTAAAACTCTCAGGCAGGAATATATCCAAGAACCCATACTCCTGCCTACCCTGCAATAAACTCATATATCATTAAATGTACTCACTTCTGCAAAAGGTATCTGAATGCTCTCTGCACAGAGCTCTTGCCCTCCACTCCCCCCCACTATTTTCCAGCTCAGCCACTCCAGGGTGGAGATCTCTGTGACAGGACCTGTTTCCAAAGGCAGTCACGTGTGGGTATCACGCTGCCCACAGGCTTCAGCAGAGCTGGGTCACTGAAACTTTCCTAGACAGGTAACACCTACAAACAGCATTTGACTACCTAAGCGTCCTTCAGTTTGCTGAGATGTAGCTTCTGGTATTATTCTTTAACAGCAGATTATCTGTCCAAAAGCAGTTTTAATTAATAGATAATACAATTTAAAATAAATTTTAATAAATTCACATTTCTATCCTGTCTCTATGCAAAAATCTGTTGCATGGCTCTCTGGTCTGAATTCTTCACTCTGTTATGCCACCTTTACACCAGGAAATCTTTTTTTCACTATTTTCACATCATACAACTTTCTTAAAGCCAACTGAATTTCTGGCGTAAAAGATTTTCAGTTCAGTGCCTCCAGCAATAATTCTCCATCCATTTTTAGCAATAAGCCACATTAAAAAAAAAAAGTAAAAGGAATGGAAAATCAGGGAGAAAAAGAAAATAAGACACTTCTCCAGTCTGGCACAAGGCTGGCAATATATGCCCATGATATGTGGTGCTTCCTCTAAAGCCTCTGAGGGTGTCAGATTATACATCTAGCAGGAGAAACAGGAGCACACCATTCATACAAAATTAAATTTCTCTGTGAAAGCTGTTCTTCTCAAGTCAGTGGAGCCAAAAGTTCAACAATGAAAGGAAGAAAACTAAAATAGAAGACAATCTGCTAATTATGAGAACTTGAGAATACAACGTATAACTGAGATGGAACAGAACAAAAGGAGAACAGCAGCTCAGGATGAAAAGAAAACAAAGGAACAGAAGGTCAGAAAGCAGCTGGAAAGGTCTGGGACACTGATGCATTGCCTCTTAATTACTTAATGCAACAGTGACTGGTTGAACTGTATTCACTGCTACTGCCACTTTCACTTTACAATTTACTATTTTAAATGCTACGTCAGGCCACAGCAAACTCAGAACAAAGACTGTGGTAGCAGTAGTTTTTACAACTTTTTTTAAAAAGTCGTCTACAAAGCAGAAAAGAAGTAAAGCTGTACAGCCACACGTAGGCATAATGAAATGTTAGCCCTCTGTTTCAGCTTGCCACTCAGAGGTTAAGGTTCAAAGAACCACATAGGAAGAACTTGATATGGCCACTACCTTTTAACTAAGAGAAAACAATGCATCTACAAACACAAATGAATCATTATCCAAACAAATGTTTAGAACACGACTCAGAAAAAAAAAAATCAAAAAGGCAACAGAGCTTAAAAAGGAATCCTGTTACAGACTTAAATTTAACTCCATTTGAACACTGAGCGTTTTAAAAATTATCTAATAAAGCAGAAAACTTTCCAAACATCACTTTCGGCTGAAATTTTAAAATGTAGTAGGATTCAGGGCCTTTATACCACATGCCCTCCCCCTCCAACGCCTTTATTGTGGGTATTTAGCCTCATAAATCTGCTGTCCCTTTTTTAACTGGAACGAAGCAGTGCCTAAGAGCTGCGTCAAACAGCAGCTGGCAACACAACCGAAACACCGGAGTTTTGGTCAAGAGAACCATTGTTTTTACCCCGTAAGAGTTAAATGCAGTCACGCGGATGCCTTTTCCCGCACGGTAACGCTCGTTTGGAATAGCAAAGGAGTTTGTTCTCCCAGGAGGCGCAGAGCGGGCAGGTCCCCACAGGCCCGGGGCAGGGGCCGGGCGGCAGAGCGGCGGCGCGGCCCTACCTGAGCGGGGGGCAGGCCGAAGGCCGCTCCGATCCGCGCGTACAGCTCGCGGGCGCTGCCGAAGCCCTGCACGCGGCCCGTGGGGCTGCCGTGCGCCAGCTGCGTGTGGAACTGCAGCCGCGACGCGCTGGCCGACGGCAACGGGGCCGCCGCGGGGGCCGGGGCCGCCGCCTCGCTCTCCACCAGCTTGAAGGTCTCCTTGGACTTGTCCTTCTTCTTGTTCCTCAGCCCCAGCGGCATCTTCCGCGCCGGCTCCGGGCTCCTGCGGCCGCCGCCGCCCGCGCTGGACTCTGCCCCCGGCGCGGCGCCGCCCCGGCCCCGCGGCCATCGCGGCCGCCAGGTGCGGCCCGGCTCCGCCCCGGCACGGCTCCGCCCCGGCCCGGCACGGCACGGCACGGCGCGCTGCGGGCCGGGGGCGCGGGGCCATGGCGCTGCCCTGCCTGCCTCACACGGCTCCTGCCTCCGCCACAGCGGGGTCCTTTACCCACCTTCCACTCACTCGGGAATTTCTGCTAAGAGCGATCTACTGAATACCGACTACTATAATTTATTTATACCCAGCATATAAAAGAAAACCTGAAGTATACAAGGACTTCAGGCTACTCTTTCTCATTTATCACAGACTGTAAATCTCTAATGGTTCATAAAGCAACAGTAAAATAACCAAAGTTTAAGAGACTTCCTATTGTACCGGACAATTCTGAGATGCTGAGATTTAACACAGAAAATACACTTTTGAAGTATTTGCAACATTTAATGAATTTAAAATGTTTCCTCTACTGTGAAATAGAACTACATATTGTAGTCAGAAGCTCACATTTCAGGAGACATCTGTGCTCCAAAGTAACCACACTCACCTCAGTGGAACCGCTCCATTTTCAGTAGCGCACTGAATCCACCAAGATGGATGCATGAAGAGTGCAAAATTCATGAGGCAACATTAAGCACTTCTGAAGGAAACTGCTCGAAAGGCATAATCAGCACTGCCTTACCACATCCTCTGACTTGCACAATAAAAAAGACAAACCATTGCAGAATAAAAGGATTCCGGCACACCTAGTCAGACCAGGCAGGCAGAGACAATGAATTACTGTGAGGCAGCCCTGAGTCAAAAGTTCTTAGCAGATCTAATCAGAGCACCTCTGATTACATAGAATTACGTACAGATTTTAAACTGCTTATGCTGTGAGGTAAAAAAGATTTGAAGCCAATTTGACTTCAGCTTTTCCAAAATAGCATGTAGTAGATTTAAATGAATACTCAAAAATTGCTTTTATCCAGTTCTAGTAAGAGATAATTTGATTCAATACTGTAAATAATTCTGCAAGAATTTCCACCAATAAAAAACCCAACAAAACTGCACAATAAACTTGCCCCCACACTTTAATAGTTGACTGTCCAGTTCAGTTTGAAACCACAGAACTTAAATTGAAGGTTTCTGAGGCTGCAGAACTGTGTGTACTTTTCCCCCATTACTGGAATGAAATTCAGACAGCATGTTGGCATTCACTGGATGATACTGCAGTAAGACGAAATGTTCATGTTCATCTTGATATTTAGGGGGTTTTGCTAGTTTTCAGTTTTAAATAAGCAACTTATTTTAAAAGAAGCCTTTTATAATTTACTAAAATGTACTATAAAGGAATTGGTAACAAATATCTGTCTTGTCTCGACTCTTTCCTTTTCTTGTGAAAAGATAATTGAATCTTAAAACCGGTAAATACTCTTTATTAATAATTTTGTTAATGAGATTTACTAAATGAACACAGTCAAGTTTCCACATATACAGAGGTTGTGCAGATTTATTTAAAAAAGAATTATGGACATTAAAAGTCCTAATTTAGGTATCTATTGCAAAGCTTTCTTCAGTGGAAGTGTGTTTCTGTGTTTCATATGGAGGTGGATGGAGGAAAACAGCTGAGGTTGGTACAAAAACTATGCTGATCCTACCTACAGCTTGGAGCAATGGCATCAGCTTTTAACTATGGAAAGAAAAAATGATGAGGCCAATGGAGCTGATCAAATAAACTGAAGACACAAACAGTATGGTGCATTTATATGCCATCATTAGTTACATGATGTAACAAGTGAAATGGAACCTTTTTTTTGACATTTAAATCGGAAGATGACACTGCACATATGCCTAATTTCAAAACCCAAACCTAAAAAAGCATAGACATGAAATTGCCATAGCAGTCCCCTGCTTTGGAATGAAGAGTAAAGAAGTGTTCAACACTCAGTTTCATCTCTGTTACTGAAAAGGTACATTACCATGGACTTCTTTTTCCTCATCTTCAAATACTATTTATTAATATTGCTCAGATAATGGATTAGCAGTTTTAATGATTTAGATTTGATCAGCAACACAATGCTGATTGAGTGGTTTGTGGAGCTGTAAATAAATCAGTCTGCTGAGAACCTCATTGAAAAGAAGCCTGTAATGGACAGAAGACACAACGAATCCTGTTTTCAAACTCCATTGAATGTGCACCCTCTAAGGAAGCATCTGCCAACACTAATTAATGCACACTAAAACTAGATCAACCAATCCAAATAAGCCTCCAGCAACTCAGGATACTAAGGATCCAAAAATTACTCCAAATTAACTTTTTGAAGAGAGTTAATAACTGAAATAAAACTGATATTAGCCTTGGGTTTAGAAAGAAAAATAAATCATTTATTAAAAAAAAAAATATTCAATCCTTTTATCCTGAGTACATTGCACACTACAGGCTACCCCATTCTTCAGTTTCTCACACATAATACTTGGGATGCAAGAACTGCGGCAGGCAACAACAGCCTTAGAGTTTGTGGAGGATGTATGTGGAACAAAGTCACCTTGCTGGCTATAAAACGCCACTATCAGTGAGTGTTTCACTACACATGGGGTATCTACCCTTACTCAGGGAAATGCTATACGGTATTTCAGCTGCTGGTTGAGTGGCATTAGGGGGTTTTTGAATGTAGGGCAGCAGGGCTGTGAACATGGCAGTTTGTCCTTGGTAAAGCAATCAGGCATGACTAACAGGATTGTTGTTTGTACAGCTCCTCCCTTCAGTAAGCCAGTAATTCCAGGGCAACAAGCACAGAGCACTTGTGCCTTCCACACCCAAGGGGATCAACAACAGATGTCTATTTTCACTGCTTAAATAACAGAGCAATTAACTGGAGAAGCCTGAAGGAAACAAATCATGCCATCCAACAGTCTATTGCTGAGCAATCTGACAAATGAAGAGCTGAGATTCTGCACCTCATGAGGAGCTTAGTGCTACTATTTGCTCAGTTTGGGTGCTGAACACTAAGTGGCTGTACAACCAATTCCCTGGTTCTACAGGATGTGTTCAGGAAGCAGTATAGTAAGAACTACTCATGGCAGCTGCACGAGGACTAGCACTTACTGATTCAAAAAGTAAACTTGTCTCTTAATTATATTTACAGTATCATGTTCATGGCCCACGTTTTTTAGGTCTAGTACGTGAATTCAAGTGCACAGAGTTTCACCCTAAGTTATAGCAAATGTCACTCTTTAAGGAAAATCTATTTGATCCCAAAAAAGTCTGCTTCTGACGAGTCAGACTAGCATATAAGATGCACATACTAGAAAAGAATGGAGTGCATTTGTTCAGCAACCCACAAATAGGCTTCAGGAAGATTTCAGCACAGCTACTACAGAAATGGCTGAGTGAAAGAATGGAATGCTAAGCCCCTCATGACAGCAGAAAGCTGTGGAGCAAGCAGAGTACCACTGCATGGCAGAAAGGAGAAAGGGGTGTAAATGTAGCTTGTCCTACTCTTCCAACAGCTTGAGGTTATCCTAAGGCTTGATGTTGGTGAGAATAAGAAAAGATCTTTAGAAGCAGAGGTTTTCAGACTTGCTGGATGAATTCCAAAGCAACAAAATTACTTCTACCTTCTGTGGCACCAAAGCAACCTCCAAGACATCAAAAATCCATCCCAATTTCATGAATGACCATTTTATTTTCATGTATTTCAGTAGTTACAAATATAGTAGTTGACTGAGTCTTTGCTTCCTTCTCCCAAGTAGCTTTATTAAATAATCAAGTGGGTTTTAAAACATAGCTTTAAAGCACATTTTTGATTAGAAAAATATTATTTGTGAATCCTGGATTAGATAGATATTAATGCTTCTCATATTTTGAAGTAATTCTACATGCTGGTTTCTGAAACATATACTTTTTTTATCTCTCCATAAGAAAAGAAATACAAGCATTTATTTCATACCAGTTCTATAAGTTTTGTATTTTGAGATTGAAAACAGTTGGAAAAGTTTAGTTTGCTATACACACATATATATATATATATACACCTCTAAATACACAAGATACTGCAATTCCTCAATTTGACACTACTCCTCTTACCTGAAGATGGTTACAAAAAAAATAATCCTAGTTGCTGTAACTTTTTTTTTTACAAGTTGGATATGGTTACAAGATCTTGGATTACAAAATGCTTAATTCCATTAGCTTTTAAACGGACAAATAGGTATTTTAGGTTGATATGCTTTTAAGTTGTGTAGCTTGTAGCATTTGCCATTATAACAAAATATAAGAGAAAGTTAAAAACCAACTTTACACTTTTTACTTAAAAACCACATAAGAAATGCAATACGGAACATATTGAAATGGAAATTTTTTCAACAAACAATATATAGTATTAACAATATGCAGAAGCACTAAGCAGCAATTTTTTTTCTTTGTAATACTGCTCCAGCTATTGTTTACTTTCTGTAGATTTAGGACTACAACTAACTGATACTGCATGAAGAGATCTGCAGTTGAAAAATTGACTTGAACAATACCCCACGGAAATTCTACTCCTTTAAGTAAAAGAAATGGGATTCTTCTTACACTCATGTAAAAATTATTCTAAATTAAATCCCAACTTCCATATTATTTACTTTTCTGCAGTCACATTTACAACACTGCTATTTCTTAGGCTACCTAGCAGAGCAGGTAACCTCTAAATGTCCACAGGCAAAAGCTGACCGCAAATCTTGAAATATTTTCTTATTAAAAACAACAACAAAAAAAATCCCAAACCCCAAACTCTTTGAAAGTATTGTTAAAGCACTGTATTATAGTTTTAAACTCAAGTAATAAAGCATGCCCACAAGGCATTTCTTCCACCAATACCATGCTGCAACCAAGGGAACCAGCCCTATTACTGTATTATAAAACTAGACTATTACAGAGGGCTCTCCATCTCTCTATGCACCTTTGAACTCTAAAGACAACTGACTCATATTTGAATTTAAAAAAAGTAATTCAATTCAAGCATATGAAAGTTTCTGGGCA